TTTTGAAAGATGCAATGATTTTCTCAGTGTGAAAAGGAAGAAGTTTAGGGATGAGCAGCGGGGCTTAAGGTTATATGCTGGTTCAGGTGAGTTGGGAGTATACTGGCTGGGATCCATATTCCCAATGATATTGTCTCGTCAGCTGAGCTTGTTTGTGATCTCTTCTAGATGGATGAAAAGTATTATGAGTACAGATAAAGATATCCTTGGTGTGTAGTAACAAAGACTATATGAAGAAATTTGTCTTGTAACAGTAATGAGTCATGTTAGCTTTAGGAGATGCAAGCCGAAGGCTGCCCTGACTTTTTCTGTTCTTATAAAGAATCTCCTTGTGCAGGCTGTAGCTGTGAAGTGGTGTTCGAGGACCATTGTAGGCAAAGTGCTTTCTGCTGACAACAGGAGAAAGCTTACTGCTCTAGCTGGGAAGGAGAGGGAACACCGGTTCTACTACTGCATTTTGAGTTCTGCCTTTAATGGCTCCTTTAATGTGTTGAAATGATCTTTTAAGGGAGGAGAGGAAGCAGGAATTCCTGTATTACACTCAATTACTAGATGAAACTGCTTAGGGCTTGGTGCTGACAATTTGATAAGCATAACTGCCTAGAAGCTGGCAGTCTTCTGCCTGTAGTTTATGGGTTAAGCTGGCTGTAGTTTAAGACTAAACTCGCATCCTTCAGATGCTTCTGGAATGTTAGTGATGGAGAGTACAATTCATAAGTGCTATTACTAGATAAAAAGGTGAGCTGAAGGCAAACTGATTTGTGCAAGTAGGTGTTGGCCCTGTACTGGAATACCATGCAGGGACCAAGTTCAGCCTGGAAGCACTCTTGCTCCTCTGAATAATCTCTATTCAGCATAAATACTCAGGCAGGTAAATGGGTTCATGTTGCTATAAAATCACATGCTTGGGTTCTCGGGGAGCTTGGAGTATTGAAAAGGGTCTTAAACCAGGATGTCTAACAACTAGTTCTGCAGATTCTTTCTGCATGTGATCTCTGAAATTCGGTCTGTTTAGTCTCCCTCTTTCTTATCAGAGTTTAGAGTTAACTTTGTTTTGTGACCTTCAATGAATAGTCTGAGGTTGTGTGACCTCAGAGCTAATGGCTTAATTCATTGTCACTTCTAATACACAAGGCTGATCTTCCAGGAGGCCTGGATGAAGTACAGTGTCTGCCTACCAGAGTATTCACAAGTGCTGAAAAGGATGCTGTTGCTGGATTTTTAAGCAGTTACTCTTGAGTACCTTGAGCTATGAGTGTTTGAGTATTTGAGTGTTAGAGCAATGCTACTGTGTCTGACAGCAGCCAAGCACTTTCAGATCAGGAACTGAAAATATTTCTGTGCTTATCAAACTTGTTTGAAAGCTGATGCCTGTTTTAGAAGGAGAAAGCATTGTATTGTGAAGACACACTGATAGGGCTGAGTAATCTGCTCTAGGAGGGACAGAGGGAAGTCTGATTCAAACAGAATTGCCTACTAATAAAAGCATATTCTTGTTCTGCTGAGCGAGTAGCTTTTGCATATGAATACTCTTAAGATGCAGCTGAATTCCTGTCTTGTTTTTCCCCTGTAGAGGTAGTAAACAAACCCCCTCTAAATTCTGAGTGTAGAGAACTGTTTCTGGGCTAAGATGGTTGGGTACAATAGTAGAACACATCAGTGAAGATCACTGCCTGCTAGCAAAATCCTGTACAATCTTTTTACCATTTTTGATCTATCTTAAAATACAATGTGGCTGCCAGTAGCTTTCTTCATGTACACTGTGAACAGTGTGTGAACACCCACACTGATACCAGAGTAAGGTCTTTCAAATGAAGAGCTGAGTTGATCAATATGCTCAAAACCTGCAGTCAGGTGTGCCTCTCAAAGCTGTAAAGCACCCACCTCACCTCAGAATCCACAGCCTTTGAACTTCCTATAGTGAGAAAGGGTGTGCTTGTGTTTTGGAGGCAGCTCAGTGAAAGCAGCTGTGCTACCTTTCACTTCTGTTTCTGGCAGTTCAGAAAGTATGTCAGTGCTGGTTTGTCTTGCCTATAAACCAAAGCATAGAAAGCTGAAACTCAAGTTGTAACTGAGTGACTCTCCAGTCCAGTTTTTAAGCAAGTCAGAACAAGTTTTTATGCCACCTGCATGTGTAGTGTGGGTAGAGAGTACTTGGAAAGTAGTATAAGGTACGGCAGCTTTTCTGAAGATGTTGAGATCCACCAAAAGGAAGCTTTCCAGAAATTTCTTCAACATTACATTAAGCATGGGGCAAAAGAGGTGCTGCTCCAATCTGAAGGAATCTGTATCCTAAAAGAGTGGTGAGAGAGCATGAACTATTGGTAGGAACAGCTCTCGAGTGAAGAGTCTGGAAGTATGAGTGGGATAGCTGATAGCATATGGGGTAATATGATGTAGTACAAAGAGATGGAGGTTCAGGGAGTGCTTGGGAGATGCTTGGTTAGAAGATGTGGGTGTAGGGTGTGACTGTAGAGGCAGGGGAGAGCAAGCTGACCCTTCAAAGGCAAGATTGGCAGTACATGCTTTATGAACTGAACTAAACTGCATCAGATGTGGAAAGCAGAGTTAATCACCTGCTGCTGAGCTACACATAATCCCACTGGTTGAGATGGGCAACCCATACACTGGGCTTTCAGGGCAGGAACAGGAAGCTCCTGAACCAGCAGTCAGGTTGTTGTGCACCTACCTTGCTATGTTAGAAGAAAGGTTAGAGTAGTTTCTGAAACTGTGCTGCATGAGATTGACACATGTAGTGTGAAGAGCTGAAACATCTTTCAAATGAGAATGCAAAACACCTGCCTAATGAGGTTTAAGCTGTCCATTTTTCAGATCATTGCTTTTTACTGTTGCATTCCTTGGATTCAAGGACTTAGTTATTTTTTTACTTCTTTTAAAATGCTATTAGTCTGTATAGCCATGCGTCTTGAAAGCAGATACTAAATGTGAAAAATCACCACCTGTTCAGGGGCCTGCTGGGTTCAAATCTAAGCTCTGGATGTATTTCTGTTTTGGAGGTCAACAGCAAGACCAGTGTGCTATTTAACTGAAAGACTTGGCCAAATAAGCCCAAATAAGACTGTTATCATCTGTATATTTTCAGATGATTTCTAATATTTATCCGCCTTATACTGGAGTATGTACTGTGTGAAGCTTGCAGCTCTGATTTGCTGGGGGAAGGTCACAGCAGGTTTTGGAGGTGAGGTAGTAGGAACAAGCTGAAGAAAGTGTGGGCTTCTAGGCATAGAAGCTGATCATCCTCTGGTTGCAAACCCAAACCAGCATTTACTCAAAGCATAGAATTGTTTAGGTTGGAAAAGGCCTTTAAGATCATTGAGTCCAACTGTTAACTCAGCACTGCCAAGTCCACCACTAAACCATGTCCCTAAATGCCACATCTACACATCTTTAAATCCCTCCAGGGATGGTGACTCCACCACTTCTCTGGGCAGCCTGTTCCAATACTTGACAACCCTTTCAGTGAAGGCATTTTTCCTAATAGCCAATCTAAACCTCCCCTGTTGCCACTTGAGGCCATTGCCTGTTGTCTTATAGCTTGTTACCTGGCAGAAGATACCGACTCCCACCTTGCTCTATCCTCCTTTCAGGTAGTTGTAGAGAGTGATAAAGTCTCCCCTGAGCCTCTTTTTCTCCAGGCTGAACAACCCCACTTTCCTCAGCCATTCCTCTTCTGACTTGTGTTCCAGATCCTTCACCAGCTCCTTTACCCTCTCTGGACCTGTTCCTTGGTGTCTCTCTTGTAGTGTGGGGCCCAAAACTGACACAGTATTCATGGTGTGGCCTCACCAGTTCCCAGCAGAGGGTCTGATCACTGCCCTAGTCCTGCTGCCACACTATTTCTGATAGAAGCCCGTATGCTGTTGGCCTTCTTGGCATGTCCAGTCAGACTGAGTTACTACTTCCAGCTTGTGAGCAGTTGGGCCCTAACTGTAGGGTGAGGTGACATCTGCTTCAGAGATCCTAAAGGCCTTTTAACTCAGGCTAGCTTCTCTATGCAACGTCAGGGAAGAGAAGCAGACTTTCTGCTGCTGTGATATCGAATCCTAATTAAACAACTGAATGCATTTGAGTCGATCTTTTTTCCAAATCTGGTTGACTGTCTGGTTCTATTACACATAATGGATGTAGTGTGATACATAATGACCGCTGTGGCTAAGATTCACCTTCTGCCAAATAGCTAAGGGAGCATGGGAGAAATCTGTACTGCTGTTGATAATGCTTGTTATGGCTCCTGGGTTAGCTACAGGAGATAGCTGTGAACTTGGCTTTCAAGCTGCTACAGATAGAAGTGTAACAGACAGTAAAACATCTGCCACCAGAGAACCTCTCTAGTACAGCACTGTTGTGGCAACTATGTCAAGAGTTTAAAGTGATGCTGAACTTCTGGTGAAAATGGACTAAAATACTTTCCAGTTGCATTCCGATTGCCTCTTCCACTGTGGAACAGGTTGGACACTGTGGCTTAGCAGGAAGCAGACCTGTCAGGTCCTTCTACTTTCCAGCCTTCTAACACTCCTCAGGGAGTTAACCCATACCTGTGGGTTGGAGACTTACTCCATAGGAGTGATTTATTACTGTAACTGTTGTCCATGGAGTAGCTTGCATCAGAGGAAAATCTAGCTTCCAGGTAACTAGGAGATCCTGATGTACAGAACTTGGCTCCAGCAGAAGCAGGTGAATGGCTCTCTTCCTATACTTGCCCTGGCTGTCCATTTGTTAAGTTGTGCAAAGCACTTTTCCCCAGGTAACTTGTCTGCTCCGACTGCCTCAAGGCTTGAAAAATCCCCATATTTGAGTGCTTGTAAGAAATGACTCTACTGACTTCACACAAACTTCAATACACATGAATATAATATCTACAACTTCTTGGCTATAAAGCCTTCAGTTAGAAGGCAAATAGTTAGAAGATTATGATATTTTATTATGTAAACTAGTTACATCAGATAAGCACTAAATTTACCTTTCTTTTTTCAGTCAGGTCAATTCAGTGAAGATATGATTCCTACTGTGGGCTTCAACATGAGAAAAGTTACAAAGGGTAATGTTACAATAAAGGTATGTTGTTGTTGTTGTTTGTCTCTTTTTAAACCTATGCAAGGTTGTTTTCAGCTTCTAGTTTAAAATTTGTATGTTTGCTCTGTTTTGTTTCCACCATTGGGACAAATTTAGGAAACTGAAGAGGCTCAGCTAAACCTATCAAATAGCTTAAAGATACGCATATGCTTATTTATGGGGTTTCTTAAATGAGAATCTGTGTGTGATTTCCAGGTTCATGGACTAGTTAAAGCAATGTTGTGATAAAGCTGTCTGTCTCTAATCTGAGTTAATTTTCAGAGATTCTCCACTTCTGTTCATCAATATTGCATAAGGGAAGGCTTACATCAAAAAGCAGTTTTAAGTCAATACATCTTATTTTATTATCTTGTATAGCACAATGTAAACTTAGTACACAGGTGTGTTCTTGCACCTGGTGTAAGATGCTCTAATTTGCAACTTACGCTATTGGGACTGCAAGCTTTGAGCAGCTATACTAGGGATTATTTCTGCTTTGATATGTGAGAGGTCCTGCAGCTGGCCTAAAGAGACAGGAAAAACTGTTTTGATTTCTTGTCTTATCTTTGCGTGACATGTTTAGACATAGTGCATGGCTAAATTGTCTTTTTCCCCTTGCCTTAAGATTTGGGATATAGGAGGGCAACCACGATTCCGAAGCATGTGGGAGCGATATTGCAGAGGAGTTAATGCTATTGTGTAAGTGTTGTCTTCCTTCAGCTAGTACTTAACTTCAGATTTGCTCCTTTCTAACAGTGCATGCCTGACTTGGTAGTACTTGTTTTAATTTTGCAACTCTACTGCAGCCATATTGACCTCTCTTACCCTTAAGTTCAGAGATCAAGATAGGTTATTTTCTCATCAGTGTCTGATCTGGAGTACTAACTGCTTCCTTTCTGAACTGGATGGCAGTGCTGTCTAACTGAAAGAATCTTCCATCTACTCTGATCTTGGAGAATTTTTGTAAAAGAACCAAATTCTTTGCTCAGAAAACCTAGCTTTGTTTAAAGCCTTGTCGAATGTGCTTAGAACCAACAGTGTAAAGGAAAGACTGCCGTTCCTGAAGTAGTTACTGACCTAACCTTAAATTCTCTTTAAAGCTACATGGTAGATGCTGCAGATCGTGAAAAAATAGAAGCCTCTCGAAATGAGCTGCACAATCTTCTAGATAAGCCACAGTTACAAGGAATCCCTGTAAGTAACGTTGCCTTACACAGTATTAAACTTGCTTGAGCGATGAACATAACTTTAGCAATTCTGAAGTCTGGCTTGAACTGTTAAGTGTAAGGCCTAACCTTATTGGTTAGTATAAGCAATAGTGTCTTAAATCAAATTGTTGACCTCAGTCAATCCTTCAGTGATCTTACTCTTGTTCAGTGCCAACAACAACAGCAAAATTTAAAAAGGAAAAAAAAAAAGGACAGTAGTTCCAATAGTAGAATATTCCACAGCATGAGTTTATGCTCTCTAGAGTCTGCTATAGCTGAGGTTAACCGAAGTGTAGTACAGAAGTATAGAGTAAGCTTATGGAATCGCAGGTGAAAGTCTACTGGGGTTGTTCTCAGTTTTATCAGCTGATGTGTTCTCATGTTTGCTTTTTGCATGTTATAGTTTATTTACACCCCCTCTTTCCTTGGG